CACACACACGCACGCACGCACGCACGCACACACGCACGCACGCAGGCACGCACGCGCACGTGCCCCCACGCATGTGCTGCTCAGTGTATTGTACTCATGAAACACACCGACCATGTGCCATCGCACTCACTTGTTTGCTCAATTCCTCCGCAGTGCCGGTTCCCACGAGAACTGGCGCCTCGACCAGGCGCAGTTCAATCAGGCTGACATTGGCAAGCCGCTCCAGGGCTGGGAGGGCGAGGTGCGGCCCAGGCGGCCCTCTTATTAGTTCAGCAGCGATGCAGCCGAGCAGCCCTGCTCCGCGTCATGCTCCAGCGATGGTGCGCCTGGTCACTGACAGGGCGGCCGTGGTATGAACACTGCTGCGCTTCCTTCCAATCCCAACAGCACTGGCTGAACATACGCTCAGAGGCAGTGAAGACGATCATGGTCAAAGTGAGTCAGGAAGTCGCAAGCCAGTTCGAGCGAGGGAAACGAACAGTCCAAGAGCTGGCTTGATTGATGCGGATGAGGCTTTGTATTCAAAGCCGTCAGTGCTGCAAAGAGCTGAGTCAAATCTGTATGCGTTGTCCTTCCTACGCGCCACCCTCGCACTCTGCGGCCCCCACCCATCAGCGGCCCCGCAACCTCGTACGTCCACCTCGCAGCGCATGGAGATGTGCAAGGCCAAGGGCTTCATTGCTGTTGACCCCGACAATGTCGACGGCTACACGAACGACAACGGCTTTGACCTCACAGCAGCGGACCAGCTCGACTTCAACAAGTGGCTGGCTGCCACGGCGCATGGCCTGGGCATGGCTGTCGGCCTCAAGAACGACCCCGGACAGGTGGCTGAGCTGGAACCCTACTTTGACTTCTTTGTGGTCGAGTGAGTCTAACGAACGTTGTACCGGTTGCATGTGTATCCGGATGTTTCGCATGCCTCCGCCCTCTGCACCTGTCAGCCGCATGAGTTGAAACCAGGAATTTGCCATGGCAGCTGTGGGCATGCACGGGCATAAATGCAGAGGCCCCTTCTGCCTGCAAACCCCAGTGGCAGTCAGGACCTGCCGCCGGTGCGCTGGTCCCGCTGAAACGAGGCGTCATCAGGGTCATGTTCTCCCGGCCAATCCCTGCCATCCTTGAATGGCAGGGAGTGCCAGCAGGAGGGTTTTTGCGGCAAGTACGCACCCGCCAAGGCGGTGTGCAAGCCCGTGTTCAACGTTGAGTACGAGCAGGCGTTTTTCCAGGACGCATGCGCTTGCCAGGCCGCCTACGGCATCACGACGATCTTCAAGGTAGGCGCGCACGCTTGATCCTGCATGCATGCGCATGCCACCAATTTGCAGCGTGACCCTCCCAAGTCTCCTCTGCTAGGTCATTCTACCAGGGAAGCCCCTTTCTGAGCACGCTCACGTCCTGGTTTGCTCACTCCCCCCGGCAACACCACGTGGACCCCACCCATTGCAGACCCTGGACCTAAATAGCTTCAGACAGGAGTGCCCCGCAATGCCAGCCGCAAACGCCGCCAGCTCCACGTGCCCCGGGGTCATGCCAGCCAGCAATGTGACGTCCAACGACACCGCCACAATCTCGAGGTGCGCCGCCAAGCCCCCGGCCGGCAACGTCACATCGAACGACACCGTAGGCCAGGGCGGCGGCGCGCAGGGCGGCGCTGCGAGTGCAGGTGCCGAGCCGAGGGTGTTGCTGGCGGTTGTGGCCGTGCTGCTGGGGGCGTTCGCCTTGGTATGATGGGTGTTTTTGATTGTGTAGGGCAGGCATGCTGAGCAGGATGAGTCATGTAGCAGGGGGGTCGATAACAATAAGCTTGACGGACATTCTGTTTGGTTGACCAGATCAATATACCTGTGCTTCTCATATTTCTTTGACTGCATGCCTCAGTTCACTCTTGCACTGCTGAAGTGTTGATTGTGCTCCGTTCAATCATTTGATTCACCAGCAACAAGGACGGATGTATGGTGTTGGCGATACGGGACCGTACCCACAATGATTGCCATCACACATTTGCACATGTCACAAGTGGACAAGGCCTTTTTGTGGTACCCTACCTGCTGTGGCAGTTTGAGGTGCGCCAGTGCACACTGGAAGAGCAGCAAATAAGCGAATGACCGAAGCCGTTGCAGCTGCTCCTCAGCTAGTGTGACACATACCGTACTTGGCTGTCACGAATGCCCGTACGGCTGTCGTAGCATGGCAATTTGCATTTAGTGGTCATATTACGAAAACGTAGCTTTGATACGCCGCTGCTCTGCCACGAATTGATCTGAGCAGGCTTGCGTCGCCACTTAGCACGGCGTGCACGGCGCTTCACAATCACTTAGGGCACCTCAATCCTTTTGCGATGGACGGAGGGGCGTTCCTGCCCTTCCTGCCGGCGGACAATGCGGACCTGTCAGACCCCTCCAGCCGCGCCGCGCTCGACGCGATCAGCGCCGCGCTCGGGGACCTGCTGCGCCAGCCGCCGGCCGCGTTTTGGGCCGTTGTTCTGCGGGACGACAGGTCGCTGCACGACTGCCTGGATTCATTTCTGCGGTTCAAGCGGTGAGGCCGCATGAGCGTGCGGCGGGCAGGTGGCGGCACTCTAGATGCAATTTGCGATAGGGAGCAGCAGCAGCGGCGGCGATGTGGGTTCATTACAAGTGTATCATGCTTGCTGAGTGCCGCATGCAAGCACGTCCTCTGGCCGGGGCTCGCGCGGCCCCCGGTTGCAAGGCGGCCCGCCCCTCCGCATGCCGCGCTTGCAGCCGCGGCTTTGACGACGGCATTGACGGCGTCGACGGCGCGTCCCGCGTGCTGGCCGAGGTCTCCCGGCGGGTGTTCATGGTCTACATGCGGATGTGAGCGGCGCCGCGGTCCCCCGACGCCTCAGTCAGCGCGGCTGCCAGTGCGACATGGATGCGTATGCACACAGCAAACATCGGCATGCAGGCAGCGCCCTTTCTCGCAGAGCAGCGCGGGCCGCCTTCCCTCCACTGCTTCCCCACGCGCCCCGCCTCTACTTCGAAGTCCACCCACGGGCACGCCTCCTCCGCACCTTTACCACCCCCGCCGCCGCCGCACCCGCCGCCAGGGTCGCCCGGGAGTCCGGCCCCGGCGTCCCGCCGCCGGCGGCGCAGGGCGGCGGGATCTACGACCGCTGGCTGATCGACGTCCCCAAGCTGATGGATCTCGCCGCGATCTACGGCCCCTCGAATCCGGATCTTGCCAGGGATCTCGCGTCCCGGCTGCTGGCGCTGCAGCCGCGGTACTGGGGGGACGTGGCGGAAGTCGCGGGGCCGCTGGCGGGCAACCTGCGGGAGCTGCGGGAGGAGTGCGACAGGATGGCGGCGCGGGCGCTGGCGGGGGCTGATGGGAAGCTGCTGGGAGAGCTGTCAGGTGGGGGGGCGCGCGGGGGCGGGGCGCCGCCGGGCGCGTGCACATGGGGCCGAGGATGGCGGCGGCAGGGCCGGCCGAGCTGCGGGGTGGGCGGGGCCTGTTGCAGGCGGGCGGCTGGCGCCTGGCGGAGGTACCCAGGGTGTGCTGGCTGCGCCACATTCGTCAGAGTCAGAAGTCGCGGGTCTCCAGCTTCCGCCGCACCGCTGCGCCCCGCGGTTGCCGTTGGGCACGCGCGCCCCGGCCCGACGGGTCCCGTCCTCAACCCGACGACTACCTGAGATGCCCCCCCCCTTCCAC